CCCCCCTCCTACAACTCCTTCCCTTTTGGACGTCTACCGGGGAGTGGGGGTAGTGTGGCATAGTTTTTATTAAGATGCTCCCCCAATATGGTTTTTTGGAGTATCAGTTGATCTATGCGTTCCATCCGGAAAAGTAGGTCTCGGTTGAGGCCTACAGCTACAGTGCACTTTGATGTTATTGATTGACGGCTACCGTACACCTTCCCTCTGATTGGTTGGAAAACGCTTACAGTAAGGCACGGGATGTACACGTCCTCCAATGCGGTCCAAACCCTCGTAGATATCGATATCTTTTTGTCCAGTTTCAATCAATCGTCGAGCTGCCGATAGACCACTCATACCGGCGCCGATGATAGCTATGGATGGTTCGCCTTTGTTCGATTCTTTCTGCAAAAAATCAATAATACCATCTCACTACCGTAATCTTACCGTATGTCTACCATATCATCAGGATATAACTTCGGTATAGAGGTATTAAAGTCGAGAAATGGCTTTTTACTTACCTGCACGGATATTCCACATGCGATGACCACAGTTAATAATGTGAGAGATCTCATAGTTACGGGTTGCTTCTTGAAGACACTGTAACCGGAATCCTGCCACTTTCTTTTAGGTTAATACTGCAGCTGCAGTTAGTTTAGTCCAAGATAGGCTAAGAGTAGGTAGTGAAGACAAGCGAAGCACCAACGATGTTAGCCTAAATAGTGGGCTGATAAGACGAAACGATATGCGGAACAATTGGCGCCTATATGAATCATATGACGTGAACTGCAGTGTTTGTAGATTGGTTTGATAAGTGAAAACGGAAAGACTGCTGTGATAGTGGTCTTTTGGTCTTTTGGTGGTTGGTTTGATCAAAAAACATATGTTACAAAGTTCTCATTTTTTTGCGTCTAGACAAATCTGGTTACTTGGACTTTCAATGTTGATGCTGATGGGAAGGTGTAACTGAGAGAGTGTCAAGCAGCTGTTCGTATGTTATTTGTGGTGGGAGTATGACTCTCGCCCAGTACCGTAGTCAGGACTAATACTTACTGGTCCGCTAGAGGTAGTACGGTACGGGGCGAGAGTTCAAATTTGAATTTCTCCATTACCAACGAGATTCATGCCAGCTAATCAAATGCGCAAGAGACGTTAACAGATTAGCCTGGACATCGCTGGATTCCTTATAAGGCAGTAAAAATTTGAGATACTTGGGACTCTTATATGGATATTGGTTTGAGAACATAACTAAGTCATTGTGCCTAAGAGCCAACTCATTAGTTCGTTTGTTGCTGAAAAATTCAACTCTCGCCCAGTACCGTATTCGCGGATACTGCTGCAGGTAAAAGGTACGGTACTGGGCGAAAATTCATCGTTTGATTTTTTC